ACTATCATTGATTCGCAAGATGCTCTCATTGAACAAATATTTCCCGATGTACACACGAATTACATAAATCTCGAGTGGCTTGCAGAAAGAGCAATGTTAGCTGCAAAAAATGTGGACGTTGACATTTTAAATCTGAAGATACCACAGTTATTGCCAGGGGACTTGGTATCATATAAATCTATTGATACAGTTTGCGATGACACTGAATCTAAATTATCCAACAGTTTTTGAACTCACTGGATTTGCCAGGCATGCCACCACATAACTTACAATTGAAGGTTGGATCTCCAATTATTTTGCTTCGTAATTTGAACCCGCCACGGCTATGCAACGGTACGCGATTAGTCATTAAAAAAATAATGAAAAAAGTTATCGAAGGCACCATTATAAATGGCAAGTTTCGATGTGAAAATATATTGATACCACGAATACCTATTATACCCACAGATGTGCCAATTCAATTTAAGCGTATTCAATTTCCGATTAGATTGGCATTTGCAATGACTATTAATAAATCCCAAGGCCAAACAATGTCTGTTTGTGGCTTAGATTTGAGCACACCATGTTTTTCACACGGACAATTATACGTTGCATGCTCTCGAGTGGGTAAACCATCAAGTTTGTTTGTATTAGCTAAAGACGGGCTAACAAAAAATATTGTTCACGCTGCAGCATTAAGAGATTATTATTATGTAATGAATTAATTATATATACATATAATTACATATTACTTTTAATAAATTAAAACAATTAATGTTTGGTGTTTTGTTATTTCTAAACAACATTCCCTCATCGTTCACAGCGCTCCAGGCCTTTTTCACTCATATTCCACATCCTTATACACTTCCAATAAGTTAGTCATTTTTTTTCTACACTAGAAATTCTCTAGAAATCTTATATATGGCAAGACAACGTTTGCCGGGTCAGCTAGTATAAGTATAAAGAAATATGAATCAACTATTTACTTGATTACAAAATTACTATTTATAAAACAAAAATAAGTTCTATATATTACCTAATCATTAGGATGTACCTGAACTAGTTTGTAAATAATGGCTCACATATTAAGTATGTGAGGCCGGAAGTGTTACTTGATAACAAAAATATAATTGTACAACTTAAATAACAAAAGGGCTTATGAATCAATTATTCACTTGATTATAAAATCACTAATTATATTATAAAACAATAATTAAATAATGGTTCACATATTATGTGAGGCCGGAAGTGTTACTCGATAACACATTATTATTTCTCACCCCCACAAAGATTCTCATTATTAAGGCCTCCGCAACTGGTGTAGGGAGTCCAACACTCATATAAATATTAGCCTATCCATTAAGTACATGTATTTTCTACCTGGATACCAAGTTTCAAGTCAATCGGATGCATGGTTCAGTAGTGATAACGGAACATCTGTAAAAACCACTGTAGATTTATATATTAGTATAGATGAGAAAATAGATGTTGTCTGTTTGTTCCGTTTTCACATCATCTCGTTTTTATCATCGCACCGCTCGCCACCGGAGTAGAGTTCATCCATACTACCTGGAGCCACTGCGGTCATCCACAGTGCACTTCCAGAGACCTTTTTTGCTACGTACCATCCGGCTTTGGAATGAGCTCCCCTTGACGGTGTTTCCCGAGCGCTATGACGTGTCCTTCAAAAGAAGCTTGTGGAGAGTATTAAGCAATAGGTAGCGGCTTGGCTCTGTCCCTGGCATTGCTGACGTCCATGAGCGATGGCAACCACTTACCATCAGGTGTGCCATATGCTCTTCTGCCTGCAAGGGCAATAAAATAAAATAAAACACCTTTACCACATAACTAATCTTTACGAAATTCAGTATGGTAATTTTTTTTGAGTTCTACGAAAGAATCCAAGCTACATTTCACAATATTGCGAAACTGGAGTTTCCATCTACGCAGTGTAAATAAAGTCTGGAAAACAAAACATTGTTTTTAAAAAAGATTTTACTGTCGCCCCTAGGTAGGCAGAGGCTTGGCTCTGCCCCTGGCATTGCTGATGTCCATGAGCGACGGTAACCACTCACCATCAGGTGGGCCGTATGGTCGTCTGCCTATACGGCAATAAAAAATAAAGGTATTAAATACGAGTAAGAGCCGGGACTTTGATCCGAGCTACAGTCCAATACAAATATAAATTATTATTATTATCAATTCTCGTTTAATTCATAAGTCATATTTTCGAACATAATTGAGCATTGGCTTTCGAACATATTTTGTTGATTGGAACTTTTGAAAAAAACAGCATATTTTTCCCATTTTTTAAATCATTCTGCGTTACTGGTTCGCGACAAAAAAACAAACTAATATGGTAGTTTTCAAAATACAATGACGACTTTACAATCTACAATAGTGCTGTTTTATTTATTAAACCAATATAATATGGACACTTTTAATGACATCGGCAATAATTGAGGTAGCTCGTAGATTATTTTAAGGTAATAAGATTTAAAGTCTAATTTCGTCGAGTGTCGTTTAATTACGTGAATTACGCTAAGTGCTTTCTCTGATATGCTTTAATGAGTAATTACGACGTCAGTCATTGAAGAGGTTAAAAAGCGAAGTAAGCTTATTTAAGAATATTTCATAGAAAAGCCAAAAATCTATATACTAACTACTACTACTATTTTTAAAATACTAATCTACTAATACTAATTTTAAAGACTAATCACTAAAATGAAACAATACCATGATACCGGTATTCCAATACCGTAGTTAAGTACATTTTTTTGTAAGGAAACACATGCGTTTCGGTTTGAAGGGTGGGGCAGCCGCCGTAACTATACTGAGACCTTAGAACTTATATCTCAAGTTGGGCGGCGGCATTTACGTTGTAGATATCTATGGGCTCCAGTAGTCACTTAACAACAGGTGGGCTGTGAGCTCGTCCACCCATCTAAGCAATAAATAAATAAAAACTTAACTTGTGTTCGCGAACGACTTTCAAAATGAAGGGATTATATTTTATGACAAAAACAAGAGGTGCTGGTATGTGTAATCGCAGGTTGTAGAGCATATTGTGAGCTTGCGCGGGTAGGTACAACTGCCCTGTCTATATCTGCCACGAAGGAGCTATGTGGTTCGAATTGTAACACAACCATTAAATAATCGAATCGTGACGTAGATTTTGTCTGCGCAAAACGAAGTAAATGGCTGCTTGTAAGGATTGTTGCTTTTGTCAAAATTTATTTTACACATTAAAAAAATGCTCCTACAAAAACGATCCGCTTACGCCATCAAATATTCCAGTCATCAAAATATTTTTTAAACTCAATCTACGGGATTGAGGAGATTTTAAAGATCTCGGAATTGAGTTCGGTTCTCGCCGCGAATTTTCCTTTATTTTTGCTACCGAATGAAGAGGGGTGTCATGAAGTGGTAAATTGAGTTTTGGAAAAGAAATAAGCTAGCTGAAGCCATACCTCATGATTACGGAAAATACAAAATTTTCACGGTGATGGCTTAGTGCGAAGGCATATTATCAATTTCAGTTGTCGTTTCCATTGCACAATTTATGCTAAATTTATGACAAACTATTCGATGTCTTTGTCCATTATGAAATTCGCAATTCACACTAGATATTATTTAACTAAAAACAACACTGTGTTTATCTAAATAACAGATGCAACTCAAGCCCCGCGCCAAACTGGAAAACAGTTCTACCGATCTAACAATAACAACAACAAAAAATCATTAAATTTGGTATCATTAACAGATCAGCCACGCCGGTACTTTTTTTAGTGAAAATATATGATTATTTACGTATCGCCATTTTACGATAAATTGGGCATAAACCCTCCACAAAAAAAAACTAAAGTTAATCCAGTAAAGTATATTAATAACTCAGAAAATGTGACCTGATTACCTAGATCGTACGTCCTTGAACATCCTGTCATATGGACAAACGTATCGGATATCGATTACCGTTTTAATTAAAGGACAACGTTATGTTTTGTTTGAGTGACCTTTAGTATCTTGCTTTGGAGGACAGACAGTTTTAAGTTACTAATTAGCTGAAAATCTATGAGAGAACGATGGTTGAAAAAATTCGTCTAAAAAAAAAATATATTTTAAGACTGCAACCTGTTGTTTCCACTGTACATTTTGAACTATACAATAAAACTAACATCTACAAATTACTGTCTTAAAATTATATAGACTGCATCAACTATGTCTAAGCACTATACATGCAATCTAAATACTATTTAATTACACACGTATGACACAGATCGGGATGAGGTATAAAAAATTAACAGCTACCCGACGACAGCCGTAAAAGCATGGATCAAACAGGATGCCATATTCCTTGCCGTATAGGCCGACGAGCATAGAGCTCACCTGATGGTGAGTGGTTACCGTCGCTCATGGACGCTAGCAATGTCAGGCGCAGAGCCAAACCGCTGCTCATTACAAAGCCGGATGGTGGCCGAAGTTAAGACTTCTTCTTCTTATCCCACATTAAGTGGGGTCGATGCAGTTTGTCCTCTTCTCATGCTGCATAGGGATTTGATATGAGTTGTATGACTCGCTGTCTACCTGACTTCGACCCTTCGTAGATTATATCTCCAAGTTAAATCACATTAACAAGGGATTATTTTGAATTTTATTACAAATTATATTTGCTTCACAGATGCACTTATAGCCAAAACACACCCAAAATATTACACTAACAAGAACTTAAATATTCTCAAAACATTGTACACGTTCAAAGCCTTGAAGGACAAATTTCAATGTGTTCTCTTCCACTTTGAAGTAAACTTGACCTAATTTCGGCTCGACTATCGTTAGCTAAACAACGCAGAGAATTCGTGTGTAGAAATTTGTTTCGGGTAAGTAAATTCAAAGCGCCTGTGTTTATTTTATACAGTGATAGATGTTGCTATTATTTTATACCAGGCCCGTTGAAAATGTAATGATTGAAACATTATTAAACTATCAGGGATCCAACAAATAATCCAATGATAATTCGACCCCTTCATCATCTAGGCTCGTTAAAATTAAATTTAAAAATACTTTAAAATAATGCGATGTCTAAGTATGGGTATAACATTATGCTCGCAGTGCGTACGCTAATAGTGGCGTGTGTGACCGACATCCCAGCTAAGTTTGCTGAGCTAAATTTTAAATGTCAACAAAAGCTTACAAGGTGTGCTTTCAAACTGTCGTTGTCATGCAGAATGCAAGGCCTTGCCGCCAGCAGCGCC